CAGCACCGACCCTCCGACAGTGCGGCGCCCCCTCAGCACCGACCCTCTGACAACTGGCCCTCCCTCAACTGCCTGGGCTGTTTTTCAAACCCACTACTCATTAACTGAGTTATAGTAGAAGTTTCACAAGCTTCACCCGCCTTCAGTTTGTGCATGTGGGCTGCACAGTTTTTTGGGCCCACACTGCATGGGGCCTTGATGAAGTGGATACTAGGCAGGTCTGTTGGAGGTGTGGCTCTGACAGATTTACTGATCAAGGAGATTAAATGCTCTGAGTGAGCAGGGGTCTGATTATGTTGCTGGGGCATGTTTCAACCTGTTTCATCAGATCAGGCAACAGTTGCAGTAACCGAGGAGTTCCTTATTAGTTAATGATTGTCAAATTTCACAGGCGACTGTAAACTTTCTGTAGCACTGTTCCTGTTTGGGCAGAGGGCCGATGGTTTGTGCAGTTCCTGCTGCTGCTGGGATTGGATAACAATGGGGACAGTGTAGTGGGAGCTTACTTTGTGCCTCACCCTGTGCTGTACGTATCCTATGAATGTTTGATGGGACCTGTGTAGAGGGAGCTTTACTCTGTATCTAACCCAGTGTTGTCCATTTCAGATTGGAATATGATGCGTATCACACAGACCTTGAGAGGTTGAACCTGGGACCCTGTGATTCCCTGACTCTGCCGAAGATTGACCTGGTGCAGCAGTTGTTTCTGGTGCGTAAGGAGAAATACCCTGTAACTCCGTGTAAATACTGACCCACTCCCTCGGCTCCCTGGAACCCCTGTAAATACTGACACTCTCCCCCTCAGGTACGCCCTGTAAATACTGACACATCCCTCCCCCACACTGGGGACCCCTCTGTAAACAGCGGTGCACTTCCCATGGATCCTGTGTGAATTTTCCATCGTCCAATCGCTTTGCTTTCTATCAGCACTAAGTGACGATTGAATTTTCCCTTTGGCACTGTTACTGACATTGGTAAACTCTGGGAGGGTTCAGTTTCTAATCCAGTGCAGCCTGCCTGAGTGAGTCAGCGGGGGGTGAGGTGGCACTGCCTCAGGCAGGGTTGGGGGAGGGGGGGGGGGGGGGGGGATCGTTGGGGTTGAGTGGCGTAATTGGTTCTCCGTAGGGCTGTAGACGGCAAGTCTTGGCAGTGAACCGGAACTGAATGCAAAGTGTGAAACCTTCTTCATTCACACTGTCAGTTGCTGTGTCTCTCTGTCTCTACAATCATGTTCTCTCCCATTGTCTGTGAACTTATAATGCCCTCTTGTCTCCCTCTCCAAACTCCACAGCAGCTAATCCATTCACGCGGTACTTCAGTGTAACTGAGTGTCTTGCAGCACCTTTTTAGAGGGAAGATAAGAGTCAGCCACATTGCCTTGGGTTGGGAGTCACGTGTTGTTCAGCTCAGGTAAGAAACAGCAGTTTTCCTTCCCTAAAGGATATAGTGCACCAGATGGGGGTTTACAACAGTCGATGACCATGTAAGGTTCATCATGAAACTAGAAAATTAAGTCTAAATTTCCTCAGATGCGAAATGAACTTGTTTCTCAGGAGTATGAATCCAGGTCTCTGGCTTTCTCATCCACTTATAAGAAAGGAGCAGGATTAGGCCATTCGGCCCCTCAAGTCTGCTTTGCCATTCTATAAGGTCATGGCTTTTCTTTCCCAAGCCTCGATTCCTTGTTCGTGCCAGTTCCTCATAGCCCACAACTCACTGATATTTCAAAAATTATTTACTACCTTGTTGAATTATTTCAATGATTTAGCCTCCACAACTGTCTGGGATAGAGAATTCCAGATGTTTGCTACCCTATGAGAGAAGAAATGTCTTCACATCTCACTTTTAAATGAGCATTTCCTTATTCTGTATCTGTATTTCTTGGTTCAAGATTTCCCCCATCAGAGGAAACATCTTCTCAACATCTACTTGTCAAGCTCCCTTAGAATATTGTATCTTTCAACAAGAACACCCTTTGTTCTCCTAAATTCTAACAGTCTGACCTGTTTTTAATGCTGGAAATTTTTGATGCTGGAAATCTGAAACGAAAACAGAAATTGCTGGAACATCTCAGCAGGCCTGACAGCATCTGTGGAGAGAGAAACAGAGTTAATGTTTTGAATCCAATGACCCTTCCTCAGAGCTGATTGCTAACATCAGTTCCAAAGAAGGGTCACTGGACCCGAAACGTTAACTCTGATTTCTCTCCACAAATGGTAACCTGTTCAGCTGTTCTTGATAAGTCAATCCTTTCAACCCAGGAATCAGCCAAGTGAGAATCTCTTTTGAACTGCTTCCAACATCAGGATTTCCTTTCTTAGATATGGGGATCAGCACTGTATACGGTACTCTAGGTGTGGCCTCACTAACGCCCTGTACAGTTGTAACATATGAACAAGGAACAAAAGTAGACCACTTGCCCCTTTTGAGCCTGCTCTAACATTCAATAAGATCATGGCTGATCTGTAACAAGACTTCCCTATTTTTAAACTCCCAATTCCCTTGTAGTAAAGGCCAAAATGTCATTGTCTAAATGATTTGCTGCACTTGCATGCTAACTTTTAGTATTTCATGCAGGAGCACACGGATCCCTTTGGGCTGCACTGTTTTGGAGTCCCCCTTGTTTAAATAATTGTCAGCTTTTTGATTCTTGCCACCTTTGGGATGTGTGTAGTGTTCTGTACTGTGAAGACTGACTCAAAATATTGCTTTGTCTGCCATTTCGCTGTTCCCCATTAGTAAATCCCAAGTTGTATCCTCCAAATGTCCCACACTGACTTTAGTCACTTTCTGTTTATATACAGTAGCAGCTCTTGCTGATGGGACTAGTTCAGTTTAGGAACCTGGTTGGCATGGATGTGTTGGGCTAAAGGGCCTGTATGACTCTATAACTCGATTTTATATTTCATGTCAACTTGCTTTCAAAATCAATTTTCTCCCTTTTTATTAGCTTCTTAGCTGGTTCCTTTAAAAAAAAAAATCCCAACCCTCTGGTCTACCATTTGTTTTTGCCATTTAGTATGCCTCTGTTTTTGATCGGACACTCTCCTTGATCACCTTTGTCAACCACGGGTGGTTCATCCATCTCATCGACTCCTTCTTTTTGATTGAAATAAAGCATTGCTGTGGGTTATGAAACATCTGTTTAAATGGCTGCTACTGCTCGTCACTGACCTTCTCCTTAGCCTGTTTTCCCAGGCTGCTTTAGCCAGCACTTTCTTCATACCTCTGTTGTTGTCCTTATTTAAGTAGAGGATCCTGGTTTGTGATCCAAGTTGGTCTCCCTCAAAATGAATTTGAAATTCTATGATGTTATGATCACTACCCTCTGGAGGATCTCTTATTAATCCTACCTCATTACACATTTGTATATGCAAATGATCTGGAGGAAAATGTGGGTGGTCTGATTAGTAAGTTTGCTGATGACATGAAGATTGGTTGAGTTGCTAATAGTGCTGACAATTGTGAAAGGATACAACAGGATATTGATAGATTGTCAACTTGGGCACAGAAATGGCAGATGGAGTTTAATCCAGACAAATGCGAGGTGATGCATTTTGGAGGATTAAATTTAGGTATGAATTATGTTGTAAATGGCAGAACCCTTAGGAACACTAACATTCGGATTGACCTGGGCGTGCAGGCCCAAGTTCCCTAAAAGTGGCAACACAGGTAGCCAAGGTGATTAAGAAGGCATATGGCATGTTTGCCTTCATCGCCCAGGGCATGGAGTACAAGAGTTGACAAACCATGTTGCAGCTATATAATACCCTTGTTAGGCTGCATGTGGAGTATTGTGTGCAGTTTTGGCCACCACACTACCAGAAGGATGTGGAAGCTTTGGAGAGAGTGCAGAGAAGGCTCACCTGGATGTTGCCTGGTCTCAAGGGCATTGACTATGAGGAAAGGTTAAAAAGACTAGGATTATTTTCACTGGAAAGATGGAGGCTGAGAGGAGACCTGATAGAGGTCTACAAAATTATGAAAGGCTTAGATAGGGTAGATAGTTAGAGGCTTTTCCCAAGGGTTGAAGTTTCAATTATAAGTGGGCACAGGTTCAAGGTGAGAGGGGAAAGTTTAAGGGAGATGTGTGAGGGAAGTTTTTCATGCAGAGAGTAGTAGCAGCCTGGAATGCACTGCCAGAGGAGGTGGTGGAAGCGGGCACGTTGAAGACATTTAAGAGGCACCTAGATAGGTACATGAATAGGGAGGGAATAGAGGGATACAGATCGAAAAATGGCAGGTTTGCTTTTAAATTAATTAGGGCATGATGGTCGACACAGGCTTGGAGGCTGAAGGGCCTGTTCCTGTGCTGTACTTTTTCATTTGTTCATTGCCAAATCAAAGTAGTCTCTTCTGGGTGGATGTTACAATGTACTGCTCAAAGAAATAATCTCTGATGAACTCTACAGATTCATCTTCCCTGTTACACTTACCCAATGGATTTGTCCAGTTAATATACATATTAAAATCAGCCATGACAATTAGAGGAAAAAAACAGAAAACAGGAGAAACATAAGAAAAGGAAACAGAATAAGCTACTTGGCCCTGTGTATAAGAAGAGCTACAGTATTTTTCCTATGTGTCTCCATTATTTCCTGATTTATACTTTGTGAGGCACCTCCTCAGGTCCTATAGATGAATTTCACCAGTGATTTCTTTCCTGTGCTATTCCTGATTTCCATCTGAGCTGACTCCACATTACAATCTATTGCATCTACATCATAACTCATCCCTGTACTGATGCCATCCTTATTAACAATGCTACCTCGCCTCCTTTTCCTTTTTGCCTATTTTTTCAGAACGTTGCATACCTTTGAATATTGTGTTTTCAGTCTTGGTCACCCTACGACCATGCCTCTGTAATGGCAATCAAGTCATATTCATTTTTACTATATGTGCCATTAATTCATCTATCTTGTTAAAAAGCTGTGTGTATTCAGATAAAGAGCCTTAAGCTTTGATTTTTTTTTGCCAATTATTACTCGGGTTCTATTTTCTGCTACATGCAGTTTCTACTCCTTCCTGTCACACTTCAATCATCATTCGCCTCTTCACTTCCCTGCACCTCTGCTCTCTTGTTTCATTTACAGAAGCATTCACAGCCAGAGATGCCGAGTGGATGATCCATCTCGGCCTCCTCTAGAGCTCCCCAGCATCATAGATACCAGTCTTCAGCAAAATTGATTCACTCCAGGCGCTACTGCATCAAGAACGGTTGGTGGCACTGGATACTGCAAAGGTTATGGGCCCTGACAACATTCCGGCAACAGTACGGAAGACTTGTGCTCCAGAACTTGCCGCTCCCCTAGCCAGGCTGTTCCAGACAGTTACAACACTGGTACCTACCATGTATGGTAAAAAGCAGGACAAATCCAAACTGGCCAATTACAGCCCCATCAATCAACAGTGCTATCAAGCAGCACCTGCTCAGCAATAACCCGCTCAGTGACGCCCAGTTTGGGTTCCACCAGGACCACTCAGCTCCTGACCTCATTACAGCCTTCGTTCAAACATAGACAAGGGAGCTGAATTGCAGAGGTGAGGCGAGAGTGACAGCCCTTGATATCAAGGCTGCATTCGACTGCATGTGGCATCAAGGAGCCCTAGCAAAACTGGAATCAATGGGTATCAGGAGCAAATTCTGTAGTGGTTGGAGTCATACCTGACACATAGGAAGATGGTTGTGGTAGTGAGAGGTCAATCATCCCAGCTCCAGGACATCTCCGCAGGAGTTCCTCAGGGTAGTGTCCTAAATCTAACCACCATCAGCTGTTTCATCAATGACCTTCTCTCCATCATAAGGTCAGAAGTGGGGATGTTCGCCAATGTATGCACAATGTTCAGCATTATTTGTGACTCCTCAGATACTGAAGCAGTCTATATTTAAATGCAGCATGACCTGGACAGTGTTCGGACTGGGGCTGACAAATGGCAAGTAACATTTGCATTAGATAAATGTCAGGCAATGACCATCTCAAATAAGAGACAGTCTAACCACCACCCCTTGACATTTCCCCACTATCAACATCCTGGGTGTTACCAGTGACCAGAAACTCACTGGACTCGTCATATAAATACTGTGGCTACAAAAGCAGGTCAGAGGCGAGGGATACTGTGGTGAGTAACTCATCACCTGAAATCCCAAAGCCTGTCCACCATCTACAAGATGCACTGCAGAAATTCACCAAAGATCCTCAGACAGCACCTTCCAAACCCACGACCACTTCCATCTAAAGGACAAGGGCAGCAGATACGTGGGAAAACCACCCCCCTCCAGGTTCCCCTCCAAGCCACTCACCATCCTGACTTGGAAATATATCACTGCTCCTTCAGTGTTGCTGGATCAAATTCCTGGACTTCCCTTCCTAGGGACATTGTGGATTAACCTGCAGCACACAGACTGCAGCGGTTCAAGAAGGCAGCTCACCATCACCTTCTCAAGAGGCAACTAAGGATGGGCAATTAATACTGGGCCAGCCAGCAATGCCCGCAAGTGAATAAAAAACATTGATTTTCTAAAATCTCCTTCATTTTAACATTCTACTAATGAATTATAATCTTATATACAGTCCTTGTTCTATGAATCGCCAGGACATTGGTCCTTGCTTGGTTCAGATGAATCCTGATGGAACAGCTCTCTCTTCCCCCCCCAGTATTGGTGAGCCATAAACCAGAACCATTTATTCTATACCAATCTTTGAGCCACTCATTTACCCCTCCAATCTTATTTGCCCTATGTCACTTTGCTTGTGGTTCAAGTAGTAATTCAGAGATGATTACTTTTGCATTCTGCTTTTTAATTTAGCCCCAAATTGTTCATAAGCTCTCACAAGAAGTTCTGTTTCAATCCTATCTGTGTCGTTAGTACCTATGTGGACCATGTAGACAATACAGCCTTCAGGTAATCAACACAGTACAGCCATGATCTGATTGAATGGGAGAGCAGGCTCAAGGGCCAAATGGCCTACTCCTGTTCCAAAGTTCTATACTTCTGTTCTTCACGAGATCAATGCAGATTTCTAGCAGGGCAGTTTGAAAATTTGAATTTAGTTGCAGAGGAATCTGGAATTAAAAACTTTCAGGTCAGCAACAGTGATGATGATGCTGTCTGATTATTACAGTTATCCTTGAGGGAAGGTGACCAGCTTCTCTTACCCAGTCTGGCCCTCAATGTGACTCTACCACGTTCAGGCAGTGCGTTCCACACCCCAGCACCTTGCAGTATGGAAAAGATGTTCCACATCACTTCATTGGGGAGGCAGTGACATAGTGGGAATGTTACTGGACTAATTATCCAGAATCCCAGGCGATTGTTCTGGGGACATGGGTTCAAATTGGCAGTTGGTGAAATTTGGATTCAATAAAAAGACCCTTGAAATGAAAAACCTTGGTTAATGACGACCGTGTAAACCCTTGTTGATTGTTGTAAAAAATACTATCTGGTTCAGTAATATTTTAGGGAAGGAAACTGCTGTTCTTACCCTGACTGGCCTGCATGTGACTCCAGACCCACAGAATGTGGCTGACTCTTAAGTGTCCTCTGGTCAATTAGGGAAATGCCAGACCAGCCAACAACGCTTGCATCCCATAAATGGATAAAAACATGTTGCTATTAATATTTACTTTAAAACTGAAGTTTCTCATTCTGGAACCATTCTTGCAAACCTCTTCTGTGCTCTCTCTAATGCATTCACATCTTTCCTATGATGTGGTGCCCAGAACTGGAGAACTGGTTGTAATACTCCAGCTGAGAATAACTGAGATAACAAGGTGTAGAGCTGGATGAACACAGCAAGCCAAGCAGCATCAGAGGAGGAGGAAGGCTGACGTTTCGGGCCTAGGCCCTTCTTCAGAAATGGGGGAGGGGAAGGGGGTTCTGAAATAAATAGGGAGAGAGGGGGGAGGCAGATAGAAGATGGATAGAGGAGAAGATAGGCGGAGAGGAGACAGAGAGATCCAGTGAGGTTTTTCCGGAGGGAGGAGGGTAACTTCTTCAGGGTACGCATCCTTAGAAGAGGCTTCTCAGTGGGGTTAAAATTGTTTCAGAGATAGTAGGAACTGCAGATGCTGGAGAATCTGAGATAACAAGGTGTAAGGATGCCTACCCTGAAGAAGTTACCCTCCTCCCTCCGGAAAAACCTCAGTGGATCTCTCTGTCTCCTCTCCACCCATCTTCTCATCTATCCATCTTCTATCCGCCACCCCCCTCTCCCTATTTATTTCAGAACCCCCTTACCCTCCCCCATTTCTAAAGAAGGGCCTAGGTCCGAAACGTCAGCTTTCCTGCTCCTCTGATGCTGCTTGGCCTGCTGAGTTCATCCAGCTCTACACCTTGTTATCTCAGATTCTCCAGCATCAGCAGTTCCTACTATAGCTGAGAATAACTGGTGTTTTATATAAGTTCATCACCTCCTTGCTCTTGTACTCTATGCCCCTATTTATGAAGTCTGGGAAACTATCCACTATTAACTGCTCTCTGAGCTTATCCTGCCACTTTATCACTTATGCAAATATATATCCAGGTCTTTCTGCTCCTACACACCCATGTTCTTCCTGCTAAAGTGCATTATCTCCCACTCCTCCACATTGAAGATCATTTGCTACCTATCTGCCCACTTGTTAATCTCCTTTTTGGTGTTTGACATGCTCGTCAGAGTTTACAATTCTTCTACGTTTCATGTTGTCTGCAATCTTTAATTGTCTCTGGCATACCAAGGGATCTTAATATGGATCAGGAAAAACCAAGATCCCAATACCAACCTCTGGGAAACTCCAGGACAAATTTCCTTCAACCTGAAAAATATCTATTATCATTACTCTGTGTTTCCTGTCACTCAGCCTATTCCTTACCCACGTTGTGTCAGCGAATCTGGCTACTATTTAGTGCATGCTCTGATCCCACAAATGATAATAGATTGCAGATCCAATGGGGAGTGATATTGGCAATGGATCTGGGCAATGCTCCCTGTATCAAAGGATCTTTAACATTTTGTATGCGGAGCCTGGTAAATTTTTTTTAATGTTATCCAACAGATCTGAACAATGACAGACGGGATCATGGGAAAGGCTGCCACAATGGAAATTGCCATAAACAGCAATGGTGACACAGCCGGTTTACCAGAGGATGATGGTTTAGAGCAGGTACTGTTACCTCCTAGCTTGCTCAACAGGACGTGTTGGATCAGTGTCAGCCACTGCATGGTTCAAAAAGTATTTCTCTGTCAGTGGAGCAAAGTATTTTCCACAAAACCATTCCCAGCACCCAGGCTTAACTCAGCCCCTCTGTTGGGGGTATTACCCTCCTATAAATGTATGCGTGAAATGTATAGCAATCTCTTACAGTGAGTTTAATGTAGAACAAGCCGCTAAAGGAGGCTAGAAGTTTTTATCTTGCAATCATCAGAACTGGGACACAAGAAACAAGTCTTGAAAAAGGAGACACCATTGTATACAGTGTGAGGAGAGGCTGCTGTTTGATTGGACCAGTTGGTAACGAGATGCAGCAAAGTCTGGATTATTTAATAAGTGATTTCTATTTGATGGTGGATAGACTTTGCTGAAGCTGGTCAGTCCATGCTGGTTGAGGATGTAAGACCTTTGTTGACCCTGAACAGTGCCCTGTCTATCTCAGGTTATCCTGCAGGAGGCAGTGTCTCAGAATTTAAACAATTAGTAAAGCTGGTTGCTCCATGCTGTTACTGTGTACTACATCCACAGGGGATTTTCTCCACTTACAGGATGTTGCTGTCAAGCCATAAAGTTGTTTTGCTTGCCACATAAATGAGCAATGTGATCTGAGTTTCAGTGCCAGCATGATGCCAGGTGTATACACTGTACATCCCAATGATAACCAACACATCCTGTTGACCACTCGCAGTGGTCGTGTTCAACCAGCCTGCACATGCCAGCCTCTAGAAATTAATCCGCCATTAGATGTGATTCTCTGATTGGACATCATTTATTCAATAATCCAGACTGTGCTAAGAATTACGCTGGAAACTAATCCAAATTCATTGTTGGACCCACACTGTGATGGATTCGCCTGTGCTACAGGTTATGTGTATGAATTCTCACAAGCTATTTACTGTGGACAAAAGGAATTTTCACATACTGTGCAGCTTCTGAAAAGAAGTGTCACGGAGATAGCCATGCTGCATCCCGATGACAGCACCCTAACCAATCAGAATCCACCCACCTGATCTGAGAATAAAGATTGACAGTTAACTGTTCTTGAAATAGCTCCAGGCCAATGATAGCCCAGCCAATCAGCACCCTCCTGCTGTATATTTTTTTTCCAAGTCTGTTGCTTGTGTCCTTGTTTGAATGAGTGCAAGATAAAATGCTTCACCTTCTCATCCCCTTTTAGCAATATTTAAGTTTTGTTCTTTCAAACTGTTAATACTCAGTCTCAGAGTTTATCCTGAATTGTATCTGAGTTTGGCTTAAACTGATGGTGAGCTTTGATCTGAAATGAGAGAAACTTGCCTGTGCATTGACTACACTTTACTCTCAGTGCATCTGTCTTTCATGCTTTCTACAAACCATCTCCTTGCTTTCCACTGATATCAGAATAGACCCCCTGTGAGTATGGAGTCAGTTCTAGGGGTAGCTGGGAGTGTGCACCATGTGGCTGAGCTCTGATTGTGCATGGTGACTTTCTGCTGGTTTTGACTATGACTGTGACCATGTTATGCTGCAATGTAAAGCCTTCCTTTCTCTGTGTCCAGGACCTTCAGCAGGTGATGGTGTCAGGCCCAAATCTGAATGAGACCAGTATTGTTTCTGGGGGTTATGGGGGAACGGCAGAAGCGATAATTGCAACAGGTACAATCAAAGGTAGGTGAAGGGAGCTTGGTGTGACTGGGGATGTGGGAATGGGGTGAGGGACATGATGGAGGAGGATGGGAGGGCGAGAAGGGTGTTGAGGGGAAATGAGGGTGACGGGAGGATGAGTTGGGGAGCTGGAAGGGTGGTTGTGAGGGATGTTGTTTCAAATCTAGGAAAGGGCAAATTGGAAGAGGACGTTTTCCTGAAAACATTGTGGGGGTGGTAGGTATGGGTGAAGTGGAGTTGACTGGTACAGATTGGCTTCTCCCAGCAACACCACCCAGTGTTAAATACGGAGCAGCTCAGTGCGTATGATGCCTCAGGAACCCTGTGATATCGTGGGCTAACCTGGTGCACTGGTGACTGTGTCAGTGTAGTGCAGCATCTCAGTAAGCACAGTGTCCAAAGAATAACATGTAACTGTTTCTAATTTCTGTTCTTTTTGTAAATTGCAGGCAAGCTAGAGGAAGTGCAGCTTCCGTGGAAGGAAAGGGCCATAGGCGGCAGTCAGGAAGGAAAATCTGTTTTCAATCTGGTCCCGAAAGTCAGGATTTATAAACCGCGTAGGCAGTTCTTTATTCAACTAGAGTGTTCAAAGTTACAGTTTGAGACAGCAATGTTTACAAACTCTATTTGGCTTCCGTGTTTGAAAGGACCCTCCATGCAGGCACCTGCTGGTCAAGTGTTCGATGCCAGGTTACTGGCATAGGCTGTGAAGAAGGACTGAAGGCTGTCAGTGTTGTGAGGAGGAGATAAGTGAAATTTCACGGGATTTTGCTGCAGGCTTGGCCAGCCGTGGTTGGAGTTTGCACTGTTACTCAGTCATGCTCACTCCTGCCAGAGGAGCCATGACATCAAGAGAGCAGCTTCGGCCATCACAGATCCTGGTCCTCAGTAAGCTGTCGCTTCTGTTTTCCTGCACACCTCATTCTTGTAGTGACACACCACTAACATGTCCCACACAAAATGCACTTTTGCACACTGCTTGTACTCGACAGTTAACTAGCCTTGCACGGATAGCTGTAATGACAGTGGGTGAGGCCGTTGGAAAGTTCGGGATAATTCCATGTGCTGGAGGTGGGACGCTATGTTGGGGATATGCGGCTGGGCAAAGCTCTTTCTACTGTACACGTTTCTGGGGCAAGTCGAGGAAGCTGAGAGCTGCTACAGAAGCACGGAAATTATCCTAAGCTTGGTTAACATCCCAATTGGGGTATTATCTTCAGTTCTGGGTTCCACACTTTGGGAAGGATTTGAGAGTCTTTGAGAGGAGGCAAAGGAGATTTACTGAACCAGTTCAATGGATGGAGCAGGCACTGCTGTAATGGTTATGTAATTGGACTAGTAAAACCCCAGGTAATAATTTAAGGACTGCGTAGCTCTGAATACCACCAGGCAGATGGTGAAACCCCAGTCTGAATAAGAGGAATCTTCCCTCCTTGGAAGGACATTGGGAGAGGCCATTTTGTTTCAGTGCTCTGTGAAAGACAACATGAATCCCGAAACAACCTTGGACTGAGCTACCGGTCAATGTTTATTTCTTTATTGGCATATTGGTTAAGGAAGGACTAGAGCCTCAAGAGGCTGGTCTGGGATTGTACGACACCACCATGTGTAGAATCCGCAGTGCATTGCGGGCAGTTGCCCAGAATTAAAGTTTTGGGAATTGGATACAGAAGATGGGGGGAGGGATCTGAGAGAGGGACCTTTTGTATGCAGCAAATGCTAACAACCTTAAATTCACTGACTGAGAGCAGTGGGAGTGGAGTTAATGAATTAATCCAAAATTAAATTGGGTGGGCAGTTGATAGAAATAATCCTGCAGGGCTCTGTTCTGAATCACTGTCCCTCCGACGGTGCGGCGCTCCCCCAGCGCTGTCCCTCCGACGGTGCGGCGCTCCCTCAGTATGAGTTCTGGGAGCATTGACCAAGACTGTGCCTGCATATTTGGAGTGAGTCTTGGATTCCTGCCATGACTGGGGATGTTCTGATCCCTGTCCCCTCAGCGTTATTTTAGTGTGTGTGCTGCCTTCTGATGTCTCGGTTCTTTTTACTCCCCTCATTCTTTTCTTCCATTCCTCCATTTTCTCTGTCGCTGTTTCCAGGCACACGTGTGAAAGTCCCGGCACCACGGTCTGTGCTAATCTCACCCAGCAGGTCTGCTGCCAGTAGGATAGCCAGTCAGGGCAACACCTCACCAGGTACAACGCTGTGCACACAGCTGCCTCCCCCCCCCCGCCCTTTACTACCCCACAAAGGAAGAAAAATACCCTGAACCCTTCCCCTCCTCATTCAACTGCCTCCTTATTTCTCCCTTGCCCCTGTAAACAAGACCTTTCATATCTTGCTGTTGCTTTATCCCCTCTGATCCTATCTGCTGTGGTTGATTTTGTTTCTGTGAAGTTTCGGAATGCCCCATGAGATAAAAGTCCATTTTATAAAACTGCCAATAATGTGACTTGGAGACTCTGTATCTAACACCGAGTCTCTCTCTTTCTCTCCAGCACACACTCAGTGTCATGCTTGCAAAGATCTCCTTCTCCCCTCCCATCCCTTCTCACTCTCTCGTTGTCTCATACCTAGGCAGCATCCCTGACTGTCCTGCCTCATGCAGGTCACTAGCTGATTGCAAGCCCCCACCCCTGACCCCTATCTTTCTCTCTCTCTCTCTCTAACCCACAGATCACTGGACAGTGATTAGGCGCGGGAGCCCTGGCTGAATGCCGTACCTGTTCCTGCAATCAGCTGTATGCCCATTTTCACTCTGCAGAAATTGTGCTCTGTGGGTGGTGTTAGGTGGCTCAGCATCTATTGCCCATCCCTAATTGCTCTTGAACTGTGTGTCTTGCTTGGTTATTTCAGAGGTCAGTTAAGGACCAATCACATTGCTATGAGTCTGGAATCACATATTGGCCAGACTGGGTAAAGACAGCAGATTTCCTTTGTAAAGCACACTCCAGATGTGTTTTTAATGACAGTTGATGATACTTTCGGACTCTATTACTAAGACTAACTTTCAATAGAAGATGTTTTTAAACGTTCAATTCATTCAATTAAATTGGTTTTGACCCGGTGATTCTAGAGTGTTAGTCTGTGCCTCTAGGCTCCCTGTGCAGTGACCACACCACATCACCATCTCTCCCTCAGCCCAAGCAAAGTCAGAAATCCGCCGACACCAGGTTATAGTCCAACAGATTTATTTGAAATCATGTGATGAAGGGGCAATGCTGTGAAACCTTGAGATTTCAAATAAACTGTTGGATTATAACCTGGTGTCATCTGACATCTGACCTTGTCCACCTCAGTCCAACACTGGCACTTCCACATCATGGCTACCACTAAGCCCACGCAAGCAGTGTCTGCTGCCCACTCTCCTGTACACCTCTTGTTACTCACCACTCTCCTGCTTTAAGTAAATGGGAAACCTCAGTGTCTGTCAGATTTAGCCAACACCCTCAAAATCGCTGCCCATCTCAACCTAATGTGTCACATAACTCAAACTAACTTCCCAACTGTTAGACATGAGCATCGATCCTGCACACAAAAAGCAACACTCCTCTGTCTGGAAACATGCCTGATCTGTGTCTGCTCATTTTTCACTTCATTTGTTTGTCCCCTTTAGTCTATTTCATCTCTGCTTGTGATCATAAACAAACCTGGGAGTGACTGGAGAATAAAGGTGTGTTTTGTTGTAGTGGTGTCACTCTGTTAGTATTGGAGTGCTCTTTACCTCTCCGAGCAGCTGCTTAAATTCCCTGCATATGAAGGACGTTTGTGTGAGGACGGTGGTGGTTCTGTAAAGGTTAGTGATGCCCTGCCCTTTGCGGGAAAGCTGTGAGTCTTTGTTTCAGTCTGGAATGGCACATCCTATCCTGGGTTCTCCCGGGTCGGAGCTGTGCGATGCTTCCCTGTCCCGGGTCGGAGCTGTGCAGTGCTGTAGGACAATGCTGGCGCTTGCTCTGATCCTGTCTGTGTGTGTGTGTCACCTTCCAGGATGCAGTAACCTTCACCAGTCCCAGAGTAGCCCTGTGACCGGCAATGAGGAGCCTGCCCGGGGGATCGCTGGTGAGAAATTTGACATTGTGAAAAAGTGGGGAATCAACACCTACAAGGTGAGTGGAGAGGAATGATCTGTGGTTATGGGGTAACTTCCCACGCTAACTGTTTTTCCGCCCCCCCACCCCTCAAAGACCTGTACAGCCCCGTGTTACATTGTATCACCCTACACATGCCCAGACCTGTACACACTGTTAGACCATCAGCACCGTCCACACTTCATCCGTGCTAGACTGTACCCCGAATAAAAGCAAGATACTGCAAATTCTGTACAACTGAAACAAAATCTAAAAATGCTGCGGAACCTCAGCAAAGCTGGCAGTGTTTGTGGAGAGAAAAAAAAAGTTAATGTTTCGAATCCAATATGGAATTCAATCTGGATAAGTGTGAAGTGATCTACTTGGGCAGGACAAACACGGCAAAGGAATACATGGTGGATGGCAGGACCCTGGGAAGTACCAGGGTCAGAGGGATCTTGGTGTGTATCTACATTGATCCCTTAAGGTATCAGGACAGGTTGGTAAAGTGATTGAGAAGGCATATGGGATACTGGCCTTTTTCGTCAGGCCATGGAGTTAAAGAGCAGGGAGGTCATGCTGGAACTGTATAAAACTATTGGTTATTCCACAGCTAGAGTACTTTGTGCGGTTCTGGAATCCACATTGTAGGAGGATGTGATAGCACTGGAGAGGGTGCAGAGGGAGATTTACCAGGATGTTGCCCTCCTGTACTGGTATAGCCACATCCCCCCTCCACCGCTCCCTCAGCTTGCACACCCCAGACCCACATCAGCAAGCCCCCCCGCCACATCCAGTGTTAGATTGTGTTAATCTATATCTGTACAATGTTCCCTAATCACCAACCTTTACTCCCCGCTCCCAGATGCACATGGATCCTGTACCTGTTGTGCTGTACCTCAGGATCCTGCTGTTGAAATTGCTTTATCTAGCCATCTTTGAAAGAGCAGGTTCTCACTGATTACCGAGTTAAGGGAGTGTTAGTGTGTGAACACCATCCTGTCTTGGATATATATTGCCATTCCCTTGGTGTTGCTGGGTCAAAATCCTGGAATTCCCTCCCTAAGGGCATTGTGGGTCAACCTACAGCACATGGTCTGCAGCAGTTCAAGATAAGAGGAGGCAATGGTGTAGTGATAAGGTCAAATCCAGACCCCTGTTAATTATTCCAGGGACATGGTTCAAATCCCATCATGACAACGCAGAATGTTACCTGGGTCACTGGATTAACAGTCCAGTGGTAATACCACAAGGCTATCACCTTCTTGTTAATTGTCATAAAAACCCATCTGGGTCACCAGTGTCCTTTAGGTAAGGAAATCTGCTGTCCTTACCTGGTCTGGCCTACATCAGGGAGGCGATGGCCTAGTGGTGTTATTGATGGACAATCAATTCAGATCCCAGGTAATGTTCTGGGGATTCTGGTTTGAATCCCAGCACAACAGATGGTGGAATTTGAATTTAATAATAATCTGGAGTTAAGAGTCTAATGATGACCGTGAACCCATTGTCGATTGTTGGAAAAACTGCCATCCTCACATGACTCGAGACCCACAGCAATGAGATTGACTCTTAATTGCCCTCTGAAACGGCCTGACAAGCCAGTCAGTTCAAAGGGCAGTTAGGGACAGGTACTAATGTGCTGGGCTGAGTAGCAATGACGACGAAATCCCATGAATGAATTTTAAAAAGCTGCTGCCCCCTCCTCCAGTTGGTGTGTCAGACTGCACTGAGGCTGATAATGAGCAGCATCATGTTTGTGTTGGTGAAGTTTGTGGTGGAGATTCCAGAGGTCAGGAATATTTGTGGTTTGTGTGATACAACGTGGCAGCATTGGGCAGGCTGCACTTTCACTCTCTGTATTGTAATAATGTATGTCTGAGCTGTTGAATGATGTGAGATTGCTGGTTTCTGTGACAGAGCTAGAGCTAATGCCAGTCTTCAGTCTAACAGACATTCCCATTGGCTGTGTCTGCAGTGCACAAAGCAGTTGATCTCGGAGAGGTTTGGTCGAGGCTCCCGGACAGTGGACCTGGAACTTGAAGCACAGATTGAACTCCTGCGTGACACAAAGAGGAAGTACGAAAATGTGCTGCGGCTTGCCCGAGCGCTCACAAACCATTTTTACAACTTGGTGCAGACACAGCGGGCCCTGGGAGAGTCTTTCTCCGATCTCAGTCAGAAATCCCCCGAACTCCAGGTACACATTGAACATGGGAAGCAGGCGCTGATTGCAGTACAGTGACGGGGATACACAGTTTGGTTTGTCCAGCTATCAGTGGGAGGTGTCTGTGTCCCTTGTGCTGACCCTGGGGGTGTGTCTGTGTCCCTCGTGCTGACCCTGTGGGTGTGCATTTGTCTCCCTTGTGCTGACCCTGGGATTAATTCTGTCTCTCGCGCTCTCTCTTTGTCTGTCTCGCTCTGTCTGCCTCTCTCTCTCTCTCTCTCTGTCCGCCTCTCTGTCTCTCCGTGTCTGTCGTGTCCCCACACAGGAGGAGTTTGGACATAACGCTGATACTCAGAAGCTGCTGTGTAAGAATGGGGAGACGTTGCTTGGAGCCATCAATTTCTTTGTATCCAGCATCAACACTCTGGTCAACAAGACGATGGAGGACACACTGCTCACTGTCAAACTGTTTGAGAGTGCCAGGTAAGGCCATTACAGAACAGGCTGAGGAAACCAGGAAGGAAATACTTGCCTGACTAAGGGGGAAATGGCTTCAACTAAGAGAGCAAATTGCCTTGAGTTTAAAAGATTTGAGCAATGTCTAATTGAGATGTTTAAGGTGATTATTCTATATCTACTATTGAAAAACTATTTCCTTTTTTTGAGGGAGAGGATTTCAGGTCAATCTGAAACCCAAGCTGGGCAGTTCGGGACTGATGTCAGGCAACACTTCCTCACACAAAGGGAGCTGGCAATCCGGAATTCACTGCCTGAGAAAACTGTTATTGCGGAAGGTCATATAAAAGCAGTATGTTTAGTCAGTACAGTCAGTACGGAGATTGTAGGTAAAGGGTCTGGAACCAGTACATGGAAAGGGTATTGTGATACAGATCAGACATGGTTTAACCAAAGAGCAGGGAAAGGTGGGGGACTGAATGGCTTCCTGATATAGGCACGGACAGGAACACAGACTGAAAGTACGAGTCTAGTCAGTGTGGGCTCAGTGGGAGAGATCTTTTCTTGACCAGCTTCGCTGTGACCACCTGATTGAAGTGTCTAAGATCACATGCAATCAAGACACCCCTCACTCAGCTAAACACTAGTGGAAACAAGTCCAGTCTGTCTAAACTTTTCTCATAAGACAACCCATTCATTCCAGGGATCAGCCCAGTAAACCACCTCTGAACGGTCTGCAATGCATTTACATCGTCCTTACACCAGGAGATTAAAACTGCATGCAGTAAATTAGATGCCCTTCATAACTGCAGAATAACATCCTTACTTTAATGCTGTTTTCTCTCGTAATAAGGCATAGACCCTGTGAGCTGCCTTGTTTGTTTGCTGTACCTGCACTAACTTGTGACTCAGGTGCTAATTCCCCCAAATCCCTCTGCGCCTCAGAATTTCACACTTCCTGTAAAGTGACCAACTTCACATTTTTCCACATCTCAAAACCACAGAATTATAATGATGCTGAAGGAGGCCATTCCGTCCATCGTGTCTGTTCTGGTTCTATCTCCTAGTGCCAATCTCCTGCCTTGTCTCCATATCCCTGCAAACCATTTCTGTCCAAATACCCATCCAATGCTCCTTCTGAATGCCTCCATCATATTTCCAGGCAGTGCATTCCACACCTTAACTGAATGAGAGATTTTTTTTTCATATCACCCTTGCTTCGTTTGGTCATCACTTTGAAACTGCACCCTCTTGTTTTTGTTCTTTTTTACAAGTGGAAACAGCTTCACCCTATCGGCATGTCTCACTCATTCATGATTTTGAAAACCTCAAAATCATCGTACTCCATCTGTTAGATTTTTGCCCAGTCACTTAACTTGTCTGTGTCTGTATTCAGCTTCCTTATGTTGCCTGCACAGCACACTTTCCCACCGATCTCAGTGAAGTCTGTAAACCTGGTTACCATTTCTTTGCTCCCCTCATTCAAGTGTCTGATGTAAATTGTAAACAGCCCTGTGAGATTTCATGTGCCACATCCAACCAATCAGGCAAAGACTCTGTGCCAGCCAAAACTCTACCCAGCCACGCAAAGATACTTTGGGATCCCAGTTTGTATAAGAACTTTTGGTGTGGTGTTAGAACAGGGATTACAGGGTGGATGATCAAACTGACCATGGCACTGTGATACAGGAAGCAGGTTTAGTGGGGAAACAACATGGAATGTAGTGTTACAAAAGCAGAAATTGCTGGAAAAGCTCAGAAGGTCTGGCAGCATCTGTGGAGAGAAATCAGAGTTCACATTTTGGGTCCAGTGACCCTTCCTCAGAACTGGTCCCAAAATGTTAACTCTGCTTTCCCTTCACAGATGCTGCCAGACCTGCTGAGCTTTCCCAGCAACTTCTTCTTGTTTCTGATTTCCAGCATATGCAGTTCTTTGTTTTTGAATATAGTGTTTGTAGGAGGCACAATCGTGAGGGGAGGATTGACACCATTCTCTCTAGCTAACAGTGAGAGATCCAGTTGTTGTGTTTGCTGCTTAATGCTGGGTTTTGGGATGTGCTCAGGGCTGGAGAGGAATTTGCAGCAGAAGGATCTAGTATTCATGTGCATAAAGGAGCAGTATAGAGGAAGCTTTACTCTGTATCTAACCCCATGCTGTCCATTTCAGATTGGAATATGATGCATATCGCACAGACCTTGAGGAGTTGAACCTGGGACCCCGTGATTCCTTGACTCTGCCGAAGATTGACCTGGCACAGCAGCTGTTTCTGGTGCATAAGGAGAAATACGAGAGATTGCGCAGTGATGTCACCATCAAGCTGAAATTCCTGGAGGAGAATAAGGTGCTAATCAGTTGTTAGGGGTGGTGGATGTTTTGTATTGGGGGCCCAAGGAGGGTGGTGGTGGAACCAGATCTAGAATGGGTGCAGCACAGATAGAGGCTGCTTGGTCTAGTATCTGTGCTAGCTCAACAAAAGGATTCAGCTCAAAGCTTTTCTCTTCCTATTCCTGGTAGCTTTACTAATCATCTAATTTCCGCGAGTAACCAGTCTCCCCCACACTCTCAGACAATACATTCCAGACCCTAACCACTCTGTTGTAGGGGAGATGTGACATCTAGGGGTGATGGTCTTTTAGACCAGGAGTGGGGTGTTAGGTCAGTATCTGACCTCGAAGTTCAGGGTGTCCCTGACCCAGAGGGAGTGGGCTGACATGAGGTGGGAGGGGTCTCTTTGACCCAGGGTGGGTGTCGGAGAGGGGCCTGGCGCTGGGGAGCTTTGACTGTGTGGGTGGGGTAAGGGTGGGGTTGGGGGAGGGGCTCTGGCCCAGGGGATTCTGACTCTGTGTGTGGTTTCCCCTGGCAGGTAAAGGTGATGCACAAACAGTTGTTGCTGTTCCACAATGCCATCTCAGCGTATTTCGCTGGGAACCAGCAGCAATTGGAGCAAACCCTCAAACAGTTCAATGTGAAGACAAAGGTATCGAGCTATGAAAAGCCATCGTGGCTGGAGGAACAGTGACAACAAATCGGTTTGGAGCAGGACCTGAGAGAGGCACAGCCAGGCAATGAGGAAGCTGCATTAAACACAAAAAACCCAAAAATTACCATTTGAATCCGTGTGTTTGAAACAAACTCTCAGACATGTTAGAATTTTAGGGGAAATTTCCTGGTTGCTTAAACTCGAATCATTTCCAGATTTCTTAGCTTTGTAATGTTACACTAAAGCAAACACTAAGGTACGATGGGACTGTGTCAGAGCTGTGAGTACACTCCTAGTTTGTAAATATTCAGTCTAGGGACCACAGAGGCTTTACAGATACATGGGGGTCTGGGGGGCGGGGTAGTGATACCTGGGTGTGTGTGGGAGGGTCACCCTCCCAAAACACCCCACCCCCACCCTGGTTCCCCAAAGTATTTGGGCTCTGGTCCTGGGGGTGCTCTGGTTCATGGGAAATAAGTTGTTTAAAGGGGACCTTGATTTATTTAGTTGCTTCATTCAGAAGGTGGTGGGAGGCTGGGGGTGGGGGGATGGTGTGGGGGAGAACGAACCTTCTGGACACATGTTATTGCCAGTTGGTGGATGGATTGATGAGGCCACATTTGGGCTTCTCCACCAAGACCAGCTCGCTAGCCCTGTCTCTGTCTCACCACCAGTGGGCGGGAGCATCTGTGTGGGAGCACCATTGTTACAGATTGTCCCGTGGGAGGGGAATTTCCCAAACCCAGGATATTTATTGAAGATGTGTGGAGGAGAGAGGTTTGGCTGTTAGATGGAATCTGTTCGAAAGTCCATAAGTATTGCCACTTTGAGGGGAATCCCCAAGCATTGGAAATGTTTGCAGAGTGAAAATTCTGTGGTGTATTAAAAAAAAATCTTTAACTCTGCATTTTCTGTACTGTACTGTTTGTGGTGTTTAAATTTATTAGTATCAAAAATACCAAAATAAGATGAACAGCAAAAATCAGGAACGCTGGGGAATTCTGGAGAGTAAAGAGCTGTCAGGATTGGGAGTGAGCAGGAGAGAAGGGGAATAAAATGGGGCAGCAACCCATTGTTCCCTGATACCTCTCCTGCCCCTCACCTTGCAGCCTGCTCGACTTTCAGCCTGCTGTTTCTGCTGTTTCTACACCCTTCTGGTTTATAATCTCAAAGTATAAAACTGATGATTTTATAAAATAAATTTCCTCCCAGCTCCATTTTTGAGGCATTAAAGTGTGCGGTTTTGCTGAATGTGTGACTGTATTTTTATTCCCAGCTGCTCAGTCCAGGTCAAGGCTGGTTGCTGTTATTCTGAAGGCCAGAAATTACACAACACCAGGTTATAGACCAGAAGGTTTACTTGAAATAAACCTGTTGAACTCGTGTCATGTGATTTCTGACCTTGTCCACCTCAGTCCAACACCAGCATCTCCACATCAACTCGGTTATTCTAAAACTGACATGGAGAGCTGAACAAGCAATTAGAATCCAATCCAGCACAGTGAGGAAAGGCTAGAGACTCCCTTAGCCCAGCTGACACACTGAGCTTGTCACAAAGAGGGAGATTCTCTTCTGAGTTAACAATGTTTAAAAACAGCAAGAGGTATATGTCATTATTTAGTCACTTGTTATGATTTTAGTTAGACCACAACATCATTGGCTGCACCTCCTCGGGCTCCTGAGCTCCTGCTGAGTGTCTCATTCTGATTTTGGCTGATGGGAAGTCCAATCGCAGAGTATAGAGTCTGGTTTTGATGGACCATTTGTTTCCTTTTTGTGATTTGTTTACTGTGTACCGAACACATTCACAAAAGGCTGCTGATATACTTTTAACAAAACATTTTAACAAATTTATACTGTACAAGAACAAATTGAAATGGTCTTATTGCAAACATAGATAAATTAGCAAATGAAGATTCAACACCTTCAACAACAATCTCTCACTTTTTCAAATGCCCATGAAAGGTCACTCTGTTTTCACTTGAAAGAGTCAGCCATGGGGGCCCCCTTGTGGTGCAGTGGGAGGCCTTGGCTCAAGTCCCCTGCTCCAGAGGTAAGTAATAATATCTCTGAACAGGTTGATTAGAAACATATGAGTCAACCACATCGCTGTAGTTCCAGGCAAGACTAGACTAGGATGGCAGATTTCCTTCCCTAAAAGACATAAATGAATCAAATGGGTTTACATAACAATGATTACATGGTCACCAAGAGCATACCAGAACTTAGCGTCAGGGGGCAGAGGTGAGTGTAGTGGCCATCACTAAAGAGAAGGTGCTGGGGCAGCTGTAAGATCTGAAGGTGGATAAATCATCTGCACCTGGTGGACTACAGTCCAGAGTGCTGGAGGAGATTGTAGAGGCATTATGGTGATCATTCAGAAATCACTGGAATCAGGGAAGGACTGGAAAATGGCTCAAGTGACACCCCTGCCTAAGAAGGATGGAAGGGAGGCAGGAAACAGGAAATTATAGGCTGGTAGGCCTGACCTCAGTTGTTGGTAAGATTTTAGAGCCTGTTATTAGAAGATGGGATTGTGGAGTACTTGGAAGTGCATGGTAAACTAGGGCTGAGTCAGCGCATCTTCATCAAGGGGAAGACACGCCTGACAACTCTGTTAGAATTCTTTAAGGAGGTAATGAACAAGTTACACAAAGGAGAGCCAAAGGGGTGACCAGAACTGCATACAGCACACGGTATTAATCAAGATACTGTACAGCTCCAACATAACCTCCCTGTTCTTAACCTCTATGCCTCATCTGATCAAGGCAAGTGTCCCAAATGCCTTTTTAACCACCCTATTAACCTGTCCTGCCACCTTCAGGGATCTCTGCACCAGCAACGTAAGACCCCTTTGTTCCTCTGAGCTTCCTATTGTCTGTCCAATTACTGAGCACTCCTTTGTCTTGTTTGTTTTTCCAAAGTGCATGACTTCATATTTATCAGGGTTAAATTCTATCTGCCCATATGACCAAAATGTAACCTATAATCTTCTTCCTCACTATTAACCTCCACCTGGCCAATCTTTGTGTCATCCCCAAATTTACTTATCATCCATCCCATTTTCTCATCTGCATTGGTTTTATATATAATGTATATATATATCTCCCAGATAATAAGGGACCCAGCGCTGATCCCTGTGGTACACTACTGCACACGGGGCTCCAGTCACACAAACAGCCCCCTACCACCACTCTCTGTCTCCTATCACTAAGCCAATTTTGATCCATCTTGCCAACTTACCCTGGATCCTTTGTGCTTTTACTCTTATCAGTCTCCAATGACCTTGTCAAAGGCTTTGCTGAAATCCATATAAACTACATCAACTACACTACCCTCCTCCAAACACTTGGTTACCTCCTTGGAAAATTCCATCAAATTTGTTAGGAATGACCTCCCACTAACAAAGTCATGCTAACTATCCCTGATCAAGCCTTGCTTCTCCAAGTGGAGATTAATTCTCTCCTTCAGAATATTCTCCAATAGCTTCCCTACCACTGATGTCAGACTCACTGGGCTATAATTCCCTAGTTTATCTCTATCATCTTCTTGTAAAGTGGAACACATTAGGTGTCCTCCAGTCCTCTGGGGTCTCCCCTCTGGCCAGAGAGCAATTAAAAATTTGTGTCAGAGCCCCTGTAATTTTCTCCCTCATCTCCTACAGCATCCTGGGATACAAATCATCGAGACATAGAGTTTGAGATAGTAGGAACTGCAGATGCTGGAGAATCCGAGACAACAAGGTGCAGGGCTGGATGAACACAGCAGGCCAAGCAGCATCATAGGAGCAGAAAGGTTGACGTTTCGGGCCTAGACCCTTCATCAGAAAAGGGGGAGGGGAAGGGGGTTCTGAAATAAATAGGGAGAGAGTGGGAGGCGGATAGAAGAGAGGATAGGTGGAGAGGAAACAAACAGGTCGAAGAGGCGGGGATGGAGCCAGTAAAGGTGAGTGTAGGTGGGGAGTTAGGGAGGGGATAGGTCAGTCCAGGGAGGACGGACAAGTCAAGGAGGCGGGATGAGGTTGGTCGGTAGGAGATGGGGGTGCGGCTTGAGGTGGGAGGAAGAACAGGTTAGGGAGGTGGGGACGAGCTGGACTGGTTTTGGGATGCGGTAGGGGGAGGGGAGATTTTGAGGCTTGTGAAATCCACATTGATACCATTGGGCTGCAGGGTTCCCAAGCGGAATATGAGTTGCTGTTCCTGCAACCTTCGGGTGGCATTGTTGTGGCACTGCAGGAGGCCCAGGATGGACATGTCGTCTGAGGAATGGGAGGGGGAGTTGAAATGGTTCGCGACTGGGAGGTGCAGTTGTTTATTGCGAACCGAGCGTAGGTGTTCTGCAAAGCGGTCCCCGAGCCTTCACTTGGTTTCCCCGATGTAGCGGAAGCCACACCGGGTACAGCGGATGCAGTATACCACATTGGCAGATGTGCATGTGAATATCTGCTTGATGTGGAAAGTCTTCTGGGATGGGGGTGAGGGAGGAGGTATGGGGGCAGGTGTAGCATTTCCTGCGGTTGCAGGGAAAAGTGCCGGGTGTGGTGGGGCTGGAGGGGAGTGTGGAGCGGACAAGGGAGTCACGGAGAGAGTGGTCCCTCCGGAAAGCAGATAAGGGTGGGGAGGGAAAGATGTCTTTGGTGGTGGGGTCGGATTGCAGAAGGCGGAAGTGTCGAAGGATGATTCGTTGGATCCGGAGGTTGTTGGGGTGGTACGTGAAGACAAGGGGGATTCTTTTTTGGTTCTTATTGCGTGGACGGGGTGTGAGAGATGAGTTGTGCGAAATGCGGGAGACACGGTTGAGGGCGTTCTCGACCACTGAGGGGGGGAAGTTACGGTCCTTGAAAAACGAGGACAACTGAGATGTACGGGAGTGGAATGCCTCATCCTGGGAGCAGATGCGGCGGAGGCGAAGGAATTGGGAATAGGGGATAGCATTTTTGCAGGAAGGTGGGTGGGAGGAGGTGTATTCTAGGTAGCTGTGGGAGTCGGTGGGCTTGAAATGAATATTGGTTTCTAGGTGGTTGCCTGATATGGAGACAGAGAGGTCCAGGAAGGAGAGAGAGGTATTAGAGATGGTCCAGGTAAACTTAAGGTTGGGGTGGAAGGTGTTGGTGAAGTGGATGAACTGTTCGAGCTCCTTGTGGGAGCACGAGGCGGCGCCGATACAGTCATCAATGTAACGGTGGAAGAGGTGGGGTTTAGGGCCAGTGTAGGTACGGAAGAGGGATTGTTCCACATAACCTACAAAGAGACAGGCGTAGCTTGGGCCCATGCGGGTACCCATGGCCACCCCCTTTGTCTGTAGGGAGTGGGAGGAATTGAAAGAGAAGTTGTTGAGGGTGAGGACGAGTTCGGCTAAGCGGATGAGGGTGTCAGTGGACGGGGACTGGTCAGGCCTGCGGAACGGGAAGAAGCGGAGGGCCTTTAGGCCATCTGCATGGGGAATGCAGGTGTAGAAGGACTGGACGTCCATGGTAAAGATGAGGTGTTGGGGACAGGAGAATTGGAAATTCTGGAGGAGGTGGAGGGTGTGGGTGGTGTCACGGACATAGGTAGGGAGTTCCTGGACCAAGGGGGAGAAAATGGAGTCCAGATAGTTGGAGATCAGTTCGGTGGGGCAGGAGCAGGCGGAGACAATGGGTCGACCAGGGCATTCAGGTTTGTGGATTTTGGGAAGGAGATAGAAGCGGGCGGTGCGGGGTTGGGGAACGATGAGGTTGGAGGCCGTGGGTGGGAGGTCACCTGAGGTGATGAGGTTGTGGATGGTTTGGGAGATGATGGTTTGGTGCTCAGGGGTGGGGTCATGATCAAGGGGGCGGTAGGACGAGATGTCGGAGAGTTGGTGTCTGGCCTCGGCGATGTAGAGGTCAGTGCGCCATACTACAACTGCGCCTCCCTTGTCCGCGGGTTTTATGGTGAGGTTGGGATTGGAGCGGAGGGCTGCACGTTCTGCGGGGGAGAGGTTGGAGTGGGTGAGAGGGGTGGAGAGGTTGAGGCGATTGATGTCTCGATGGCAGTTGGAGATGAAGAGGTTGAGGGAGGGTAGGAGGCCTTGGGGTGGTGTCCAGGAGGAGGGGGTGTGTTGGAAGCGGGAGAAAGGGTCAGTAGAGGGAGGGTTAGGTTCACGGTTGAAGAAGTAAGCGTGGAGGCGGAGGTGGCAGAAAAACTGCTCTATGTCCAAGCGTGAGCGGTATTCGTTGATCTGTGGGTGGAGGGGGACAAACGTGAGCCCTTTACTGAGGACTGACTGTT